ATTTATCAAAAAATTTTATTAATAATTTATTAAATAATTCATTAGTTATTCAATAAAAATTTATTAACAATTTAATAAAAGTTTATCACAAAATTGTTTATTAGTAATTCAATAAAAATTCAATATCAAATTATTAATAATTCATTAAAAAATTATTAATAGTTTATGAAAAATTCATTAATTATTTATCAAAACTATTCATTAAATATTTATTAAATATTTATTAAAAATTTATTAACTTTTATTAAAACTAGTTATTAAAAATTTCTTTAACTATTTATTAACAATAAAGTAATAAAATAGATAAACTTATATATAAATTTTTCTGAATTTAAGTTATATTTATAAATTATAAATAATACAAATTATAATTTTTTTATTTTTTTTAACACTAGCTTATTTTTATATCAGAGTGACTATTTTGTTATAATAAAGATAGTATCTAGAAACAATCAGAATAAATAATTACCCATATTATCTAAGGATTTACAAATATTAGAAGAGTACAAAAAGCTAACTATTTATATCTCATCTAATCAGAATAGAATAACTATAACTATATAACTATCTAGTATAGATATGTCTCTTTACTATGTTAAAACCATATATAAAGTAAATAAAAACAATCTAAACTTATAAACACTATAGCACTTCCTAGGACTGAAGTCTACTAAGTGACTTATTGCTATCCCTTAAAGAGAAGCTAATATATCAAGAATTCATTTGAAGTATCCAATATTACTAATGTTAGGGATTCCTTATATAGAACTTTAACTCTACTAGCATTAAAAAAATTTTAAAAAAGAAGTGGTTGTGTTCAAAAGGATATGTTAGTATATAATAAAAGAATAGAAATATTAAAATTCTTTAAAAAGATACTATCTCAGATATTTGTATATCTGTTAAAGAAAAAAAAAAGTGAAAAGTTTTTATTTTATTTATTTATTTATTTTTTAATTAGTCATACTGACTGAGCTTTTATTGATATTTTTTATAAGTACAACTGTTAGATTACAAAGGACCAGACTTATAACTATATAACTATACTATCCTTTTTTTACTCAATATAATCCAATTTTATCCATTTTTCAAGTGAGTACCATCTTGTCAGCTACCCTGCTTTTGTCTGGGCACCTAGCATTCCGAGAATCCACTAAGGACTACCATTTTTAATTCAAGAGGTATTTTTGTTGTTGTTTCTTAGAGTATAATTGGTTCTTGCAATAAAGGTATATTTGAATCTTGTATGACGTACTTGCCATATTCAGTTTTTTTCAGAGGCTAGGTTACTTGATGCTCCAATCTCCATGCGATCTAATGTAGAGCCTCAGCGATTATTGGTGTATCTTACGGTAACCTAAGTCTTCCATTGATCATTTTTAACCACTCTTCAAAGATGGCCTACAAGGGTTTTTCTTGATCAAACGAGACCATCAAGCCTCTCCCAAATGCATCTATCCCTGCGGTTCCCATTATGAGTACTATGCTTCCTCACAATCTGAGATCAACCTGGCCCTGTCTCTCTAGTAACTTTCGTGGCTGATACAGATGACCGAAGTCTCCCAATATCTTCTATGAGTCTGGTAATTTGAGAAGAGGTGGATTCTTTCATTAAACTGGTAGGATCTTGAGGCAATCATTATCATTCCTGGCATTCTTTTAATAGCTTCACATAATTCAGGTAGCATGGATGTTATAACTTCTTTTTGTCTAGTACTAAAACTGACTAAGACCTGTATGACCTGTTTTTGATGCACCATGGTCGGACGGTAATATTTGATAGATTAGATGTGTGCAGGAACACATTTGGCTGATAAGCATGTGTCCTATACTACGTAATCTATTATTGTGGATACCATTCTTGAGTAGGATTAAACTAGTAGCTCATTGATGGTGACCTGGGAATGCACCCACTGCACTATTAACCCACAGATCAAAAAGTTTTTATTGACTATCTAATGAATTCTATTTCAATAGTATTTTTTTAAAATACTTCTAATATAGGAAATTTGTTTATCCTGCATCTATCTATACATAAGACCAAGTGATTTATAGTAGATCCTAAATTCTTATAGAATTGAAGAAATGTATTCAGATACATGAGGTAACCAATGAAAACTTGTTTACTTCTTTTACTTATGTGAGCTCTATCTGTCTAATTACAGTGTGAAAAACTTTGTACTATTTTAAATTCAGAACCAAACTGTGATAGGCAAAATTTTTTAGAAAAAATTAAAAACAAGTACTATTATAGTATTATAGATAACAAGAGAGTAGGAATATTATCTTTCATCTATCCAAAGTACTCTGTGTTGTTTCTCTACAGTGTAAACTAATGATATATTAGTTTTTTTTTCTTTCAAAACTTTCTTGCCATTGATAAGAAAGATGTTACTTGACTTTTTGATCACTATAAGTTAAGTTTTTATTTAAAAAAGAACATTAACAAGAAGGAAGGAAAGTAGAGATGTCTCTTGAAGTTTTTTCAAATTGTTTTAAGAAAAATATTGAGACTTTATTAATATAGAAGTATAAAAACTTCTTGTGAATGTCTTTTTTATATGTGATCAAAGAATCAATAAAAAGAGTACTACTTTATTAATAATTTTTTTTTTTTTTTTTAAAGAGTAAACGAAGCCAATTTATTATGGTAAAGCCACAGGAGTACTGTGAATATATTTACATAGTGTTATATTACATTCTTTATCCAACTTACGTATGTTCCATTACTAGTGACTCTATAAACTATTTAAGTGATAAATCCGTATCTGTGACAAGTAGCCCTAAAGTCACCATCAACACCTACGTAACTTGTTGTTGAAGAAAGCCCTACTACCTCCCTTTCTATGTTAGTACCTTTTCCTGATATTTGCACCTTTGGTTCTGAGTACAGGACCTTCTTTTTGTATCTCATCCCACTTGATATTCTTTTTACAATACCTATTACAGTATGCCTACGAAGTACTTGCGTGGAGTCTAAGATGTTATCTTGTCCCACTGAAAACCCTTTTTACATAATCTATTATGGCCTGCCTATGAGGAGATCACATGGAGTCTTGGATAGATCTTGATTGATAGAGACCTTCCTCTAACTAACATGCCTAAGCTCTATTAGTACCCTCCAAAATTTTTATAGCTGAACAGATCTTCAACCTATTTTCAAAAGCTTGAGGAACCTGTCTCGTGACAAGGTGGCTTTAGCACTAAAACCGGCTGAAGTATCTTGTGATTTTTGGATGCCTTGTGATTGGATGTGATCTTGGTCAAAAGTGATTAGATCATTATCATAGAATGGATAGGATATTCTTGTATCACCTTGGCTTTTTTGAGTGATATTGCCTCACAGTGATATTGAACTTGAAAGCAGTACTTGGCAATCTGAAAGTGCTACTACTTATGCTATAGACCCACAGATCACTTTATTGATAATATAAATTATAATTTAATATATAAAATATAATTTTTATTATTAACTATATATTATTATATAAATAATTTATAAATATTTACAATAATAACTTATAAACATTGAACTTTATAGTTGAAGGATAATCCAAACTATAAAGAGAACAAAATATCATCTTCTAAGTTATATTTAAAGAAAGAAATATTGATAACAAGTGAGTTAATATATAAAAATTATTTAATTTATAATTATTTCTATTAATTCTCAATAAAGACAAACTATAATATCCTAACAATAAGTTAAAAAAAAATAATAATAATAAATAATTTATAAATTTAAATAATTTTTTTTTATAAGTTTTATAAATTTTTGTTAAATAATAAATAAATAGTTAATGAATTTTTAATAAATAGTTTTGATTAAATAGTTAATAAATTTTTAATAAATAGTTTTAATAGATATTTTATGAATTTTTAGTAAATAGGTTTGATAAATAGTTAACTAATTCTTAATAAATTATTAATGAATTTTTGATAAATTATTAATAAATTAATATCCAATTTTTATTAAATTGCTAATAAATTATATTGTAATAAATTTTTATTAAATTATTAATAACTTTTTGCCAAATAATTACTAAATTATTTGATGAATTGTTAATGAATTTTTTGATAATTTATTGCTAAACTTTTAATTAATAAATTTTTAATTGCTGAATTTTTTAATTGTTGAATTTTTTGATTATTACTTTATTGCCAAAATTGTAATATGCTAAATAATAACAATTAAAAAGAATTTGGCAATATTTTATTATTAAATTTAATTGAATTTAACAATAATTCAGCTATCAAATAACATAATTTCAATTAATATAACCTGAAAAATATCTACTATACTATTAATATATATCTATAATTGAAATATGTAATTGTAATAAATAGAAGTTTATTTATATTTTAAAAATTAATATATTTTATATTAATTTATTATTTTTAATAAAAATTATATTATTTAAAATTCAGAATCAAGTCAAAATAAAATTTTTTTTCGGAAAATTATAAAAATAAAAGTTTAAAAGAATATAAATAGTTAATAAAAAAATTTAAAAAATTTTTTATATTAAAAAATCTTAATAACCAATTTTTTTTAAAGATAAAAAAATCTTCAAATACTTTAAATAATTCTTTTATTTTTTAAACTTTTTTATTATTGATAATAAAAATATTTATTTAACTCTTTTTGATTATTAAAAATTAGGTTTTTGATCAAAAAGATTTATCAAAAATTAATAAAAAAAATTATAATCAATAAAATATTATATACTAAATATATATATTTACTTTAAATATTTTAATATATATTTTTTTAAAAAGTTAATTTATTGATTAATTATAATAAACTATTGATTTTCTAACTAGAAACTTGAATATAAAATATTGTTCTTTAAATATGAGATAAAAGTATCTAATTGAAACTTTGTTTTTTTAATCTAGTTTTATAAAAAAAATTTTTTTATTCAGCAGGTGTAAACAAATCACGTGAAAATGTGGATATAACTCGATTCTTTTATTTTTTCGATTTATGATCTCAAAAAATGGAAATAACTAAAGTTCCGTCGTTCGAAAGTCTTGATCTTGCAGAAGAACAACGTTCGAATAAAATATTCTCTTCAATATTGAAAACACTACTAGTTAATGGGAACAGATATATGACCGCAAAGGAAATAGTAGGTAAGAATGATTTAAGAAATTTACTTTTGAAAGAAATTTACTGATTCTTTTCGTACTTTTACTTTAGAGGGGATCCACGAGCATGGATTTACGAGACTTGGGTGTGTAAAGCCTCGTCGAATTTTTGCCACGATGTTATTTTTTTTGTGCACCTGTCGAGATTCACTAATTGCTTGAATAAACAGGGGACTTACACCACAAGCCACTATCCAAGGCAATATTTCTACAGCAATTTCCACAGCATTATCAAAAAAGCGCCCAAATCCAATTGAAAAGCGCAAAATGGAATCAAATGGAATAGGTTATCGAATTTCCAGAGGTTTGTTTCCTCAAAATTCCTACATTCTTTCATTGATGGAATTGGATCCTCCGGATCCCCCCGGAAATAATAAGAAAAAAGCTCCAGTGAAAAAATCAAAAGTCAAGTCAGCTAAAGTTACTACTAGTCGAAAGAAAACGAAAAAGCCAATATCAAAAGTGACCACAAGGGCCAAGTCTGGAAATGTTATACCTAAGAAAAGATCAGGCCAAAAGTATGCCAGTATCCGAGCAGTATTTGATTACGCGACTGATAATGATTCTGACTCACCAGAAGAGAGAATTTCAAAAAAGAGAGGTGTAAAAGTTCATGCGTCAAATGATTCTAGTCCTACAAACAGTGATTCAGACTCAACCGAAGATTTTTCGTCAGCACAAACACCTCCAAGAGAATCTAATATTATTTTGAATGAGTATGTTTTCGCTTCCGTTTTTTCATTTACATTCTAATATCAACAATTAAATCTAACCCGTTAATAGAATCGATGCGCACAACTCATCATTGTTAATAACGAACGAACCATCGGACTTTAATGTTGATCGTTCAATTGGACCTGCATCGTTTGCTATTGCTCAGGAGACAGGCTATTCTTATCCTCGATTTAGAAGCAGTCCTAGAATGAGATATGCAAAGGCCAAATGTGAAGACGCATTTTGTGTTCGAGACCTTTATCGCCTGGATGGTTCTTTCTTGGGAAGATTATTTTGTCTAGCGGATGGACATGGGGGCTCGGAGTGCTCTGCATTTTTAACGACTCGAGTCCCGAATTGCGTAGAAAATATGCTTCGTCTTTACGAGCCTGCACAATTAGACAACGACCATACCAAAGAGAAGTTTAAGCGAGATATGACCATGCTCATTAGGCACCTTGATGATGAATATTTAAATGCTAAGAGAGAAGAGTATCGGCATTGGCAGGCCCGTAACGGTTTGGTAGAACCAATTGATGACGGAGCAACGCTGGTCATTAATTTATTTTTTGGAGAATGGTTCGTTAATATAAATGTTGGAGATTCACGCACCATTCTTGCGAGTAAAACTAATGACAAGTGGATTGTTGATTTTGCAAGCGAAGATCATAAGCCTTTTCTTGAACGCCTTGCTGTGCAAATCTTTTCTAACGGTGGACTTTTTGTGGACAGCCAGGACAAGCCAATAAGATTTGATCCTTCGCCTCAAGATCGCCCCATTCGAACGAATTTAAAAAGCGCGCGTATTAGATTACAAAATGCTGATAATGACCTTGGAGTCCCTTATAAAAATAATAATGGGAATAACTGGTCTCTCAACGTAGCCGCCACCTGCGGAGACTTACTTTTCAAATTAGATCCTTCTAAGCCTGTAATAAACTGTGTGCCGGATATCTACTTTAATAAGCTTGGTACATTTTCGAATCGCACTGGCAGACAATTTATACTGATGAGCACCGATGGATTATTTGATCATTTGTATCTTTCCAAGGCCGATATGCAAAATCAAGTGATCACTACATGTATAGGCACAAAGCTAGATTCCGGGGAACACATCAAGAACATTGCTATGCACCTTTGTAATAGGGAAGGTGATCGTAGTTTATTTGAAAATACTCTACAAGAATATGACGACTGTACATGTATACTAGTATCCTTATAAATCGTGATCTCCTCTTTGCTTGTAACTGAATCTTTAATATCAAAGTTTCACTCTCGATTTTATTAATT